TTGTCAATTGTCGCAAAAGCTGGTGAGCAGAGTCTGTTGTGTTATAAATCCTAAACAACATGGGACCATTGTCAAGTGCTGGTTTGAAAGTTTTATCGTCCGACGCCAGCTCCTGTTTTTGCGCTAAACCTGTCTCTGGTTGCCACATGTTCGTGGCGATTACAATGTTGTTCTTCCAGCTATGGGCATTACACCATTTTCTAAACCTCGCCTGGGAGGCATCGCTCCGCGGATCCGGGATTCTACGCAGATAGATTACGCCACCCAGCTTTGCGCCGTAACGATGCCTTTTCCATGGTGTAAGTAGTTTACGCACAAATAATAGAACATCATACATAGTGGACAAATAAGTTGCGACAAGTTGTAAGATCTCCTCGTCGTTCCGGGGAATGCCGTCAAATCCAGGAGTGTCAATAAGGGTGATGATATGCCGATCAAGTTCGAATGTTACGGGTTGCATATCGTTGGTACACGGTTCCGGTCCACGGCCAACAGGCAATTTCGCATTACTAGCGTTATTAATGAACTGATTTGAAGTTAATTTGACTTGACAGAGATTAAGAGAACCCACAGTAGTTTTTCCGCTGCCCGTAGGACCCATGACGCTGAAAATATAAATATAGCTGCTTTAACACTCTTCAAGATAGGTATTTGGTTAACGTACGGGATAACGACTGAAGGTAGAGGACTCGATCCATAATCCTGTTTTCTTGTGATTCTGAGTGGTAAAACCTACGCCTGTCCTTAACCCCATACACAAAGTTACTGGATCAATTCATACAATTGAGTTAACAGGAGCAGCACTCTCTAGATGCTTTGGAGCGCTGGAACTAGTAGTGACAGGGATGTTGACGGAACATCCGGTCATGGGGCAATTTGTTACATATATGTTGACCATTTGATTGATGAGATTGAACATCTAAGATTGTTTTCCTTCACCAGCACGGTATTGAAGAATGTGAACTAACGTTCTGGTGTCTCTGGACCTCGTTAGGTTTGGAATCCTGGGAACCATCTGCAGACATGGGCTTCAGAAACAACGTTGGATATTCTTTAAATGTGACCGTATGCAGACTGACTGGCAGGAGATGGACGATCACAACAGATGATTATTGGAACGTTTCTAACAACTACCGGGTGAGACGGCGATTGGAAATCGATAATCGCTAAAGCCGATCGGCCGGAGAAGGTATGAAGGCTTGAAGCTTGAAGCTAAAAGCTTGAAGGAGTGTCTGAAATGGTTAGATCAGCTTCAAGTGGGTTGAATCAGGGAACAGGGTGATTGATACCATTAATCGTTCTCCACTATAAGGTACTAATAATTACAGGTTTTAAGCTTGCTAAGGTGGGGTCCGAGAATCCCTTATCCGGGAAGTTGGCGGAGCATGCGGAGAAGAAGTGCTGGTCGTAGGCCTGGCGTTATCTCGGTTCATTGATGTTGCAACTCTGTAGCCTAGATGCGCGTGTAGATGAGAGTCGAATATGATTTATTCCATGTCAGATGGTTCAGACGAGAGTTCAGCGTTGTATAGGTCCAAAATGGAAATATTCCGTAACGGACGTACTAATTCCTCGGTACACAACTGGCCTTCGTCTTCACCACCATTACCCTTTCCACACCTAGAGGGTATTGAAATCCGTCCTCGTTTACGCACTCCGACCGGCCATGGAAGGCGCCGACGGAAGCGGAGTTCAGGAAAATCAACATTTGATGGGAAATGGCACTACTGCAGCAGAGCCTGTGACACTGCTGACGGTAAAGACGTCGTCGGAACTGGAAACAGACGAGGTTAAAGAGAACCGGACAGGTGGGGAGATGAAAAATGGTTTACCCGAGCCAATGTCAGTGAGTGCTCGCGCCAGCGACCCATATTATTCACGCTCTCATATGCTACAATAGTGGTCCGAACATGATAATGAACGTCGATCCCCCTAGCGTCCCTCAATCGCCGAGAAGCATTTCTCATCCCCAGCTTGGGATCATACCTAGCGCGTCGGAAGTCCGACGCATTTTGGGTCCGTTGATCGCACACAACTCCCTAGCACGGAATGGCACACTTGAAAAGGAAACATCATCTGCCGAACCTCGTGGGGATATACAAAATCTTTTGACCGATGAGGTTTGCAATAAATTTGCCGGTCAGATGCGGGTTGTTGAGAAGCAGAGAGGGACATTGCCTTCGAATGGTGCGTACATCACCTCCGTTTATGCGCCTGAAAGCTGACTCGCATATAAGGGACATCTAATATGGATAATAATAAGGTACCCAAAGCACCACGCGCCATGTTGATAAGTGAAAAGGTGCGTGTGCTAGAAGATTACCTTCTCTTACAGGATCACAATAAGGACTTGAACGTGAACAATCCGAATCTTGATATGCGAATTCCAGTCCCTTCGTCCGCCATTGGCACCGCTCCCCCAAGCGTTCACGAAACCGCACCATCTAATTCGTCGTCTACTGGCATAGCCATCCCATTGGAAACTAAATTTTTTACCCATGCCAAGAACCTGGAACGAGAAGAGGGAGAGATCACAAGCAGCAGACCACCGTCAGTAGCGTCAGATGTTGCTCGCAAGGCATCGCCTGTGAAAAGATATTCCATCGACGGGGGAGGATATCCTCGTCGTTCGGCGAGTCCCGAACCCGCGCGGCACCGTCTGCCTGTATCTAGGACGTATCGCAATCGATCCCCAGAGCGCTTAGTGCGACCATCCTCGCGACGTTCTAAGTCACCTAGCCACCCCAGGCGCCCAATCCATCCGGAGGACAGGACTAGTCGCCCATCCCGTTCACCCGAAGGGCCTCGACGACGACGGTCAAGCCCCAGCCCAAGAATACCCCATGCATTTGATCGGCCTCCACTCATTTCGCCACTCTCTGCCACGCACAGACGGCGAGGCAGCGACGATGATACGCGACGCGGCAAATATACCGATGGTGAACCATACCCTTCGAGGGACAATGATAACAACCACAGCGAGTCGCCAACTTCGCGCTACCCTGAGGGACAGAAAGACACATTCAGCGCCCGTGATGGAATGACATCGTCTGATCACAGCGCGTCCAATCATGACTGGCAACGGGGATCAACGCAGGAACGTGGCTCTGACGCCGAATCCTCGCGTCCACAAGCATCCATCCGATCAATGACCACAAATAACATCAATCACAAGGTTGATGACCAACATAAACGCCATAGTCCCTCTGGAGGGCCAATACCCTCTCCATCTTCAACAGTTGGACCACTGCCGGATACTACTACAATAGGCGATTTCAGCCCTCCACCGCAAATAGCCAAAGCTTGTCATAACGTTCCCGGATTATGGATGGTCAAATCTGGGCAGAGTAGGATCGAGATCGTGAGTTGTGAATTTGAGATCGACACGGTAGCAGCAGAAAAGTGGGGCATTCGAGGCCCGTCAAGGTATGTATAATCAGGTTGACCGCAAAATGGCTTCTCAAGGTTGTCCCCCCAGAAACGGCAAAGAAAAGGCACATGATACATTGTCTTTGTCGCTCGCATGTGTACCACTTTCTGAAGTCATTGCAGTACGAGGAAAGCTTGACTTGGCAACGGCAACTCCGCAAGAAATCGCCAACGAAATGGCCCAGATTGAGACTGTTTGGCCACCTGCTGGTCATTTAGTCATACAAATTAACCCTGACCACGAGTGGGGCGGATCATGGTTGCCCAAACACCTGGTAAGAGTTTACACTCCGAGGACCTTGAAACTGGAACCAACGATGTACATCCAGGGAGAAGGACATTCGTCTATTAATATTGTAAATCATGTTCATGAGGGAACAAACGTCATTCGTTTTATTCAGTTAGCCAATCTAGCGGACCACATGTTCCTTGTGTTAGCCAAGGAAAAGCCGCCAGACGTTGATACCATAGATCTTGAGCCAGAATTGGATGTGGCAGCGACGGGGGCAGTGGAAAAGGGGCCCGAGACGACCGAGCAATTGTTAAAATCCTTTGTAGCGACTACACAAATAATATATTCTTAATACCTATGCCTGTCGTCTTGTGAATCGTAATCCTCTAGTTAGATCTATTGTGAAGGCTCGGGGACCAGGAAGCCAACTAGACATGCTTGAAGCATAAATTCTACGTTGACCCATGCATGTGTCAGGCCTAAGGAAGGATAAGTACATCAATCGGTAACGAAAAGTGCATTCATACCAAAAAGTTTAGTTCCATCTCGTCCTGCTACTCTCATCAGCTCTTTCTCCCCTCCAGGATGAAACGATAGATATGGCGTAATATTATACACTTTACCATTAAACGCTGCCCATGCGTCGTCACGTTTATTATGCTGCTTCAACACTGAAGGTGGTATCCTTAAAAGGGTATCAACGCCCTTGGAAAATATCCATGTCCATCAATGCGGCTTTTTACAAGGAGAAACGATATAAAACCACATACACGCAAATCTTTGCCTGACGATGTCAGATTTGCCCAGTCCAAAGGGCTATGACCTGGGGCGAGGGCAACCTTCCCCCGTTTCTTGGAACTGGTGGGAGGTTTCGTCGTTGTAGGTGGGACAGCTAACGTAGATTTCGATTGCGAACCTACGCCTGCCGAACGGTTCGGCAGTGGAGGTGGGGGCATCAGCTCCGCGTCCGTTAGCTGCACACGAGGCACCGAGAGACTCGGTGCAGCAGATGTCTTTACCCTCTGTGCACTCGAAGGACTGGGAAATGCTGGGGGGCGGTCGTCATCTAGATGGTGTTCCGTCTCAGTTTCAGAACCGTCGTCACCACCCTCAACGTCGATGCCGGCAGAGGGAGGAGACACCTGAATTGTAAGGCTGGACGAATTGGATGTGCTCGTCTCTGGCACGGTTGCGGCGGGCGTCCCGGTCGATAGCCAATATCTGAGAAGCGAAGTCATTGAAGTAAAACAAGAAGGGTATGTGCTGTTACTATACAGAGATGAATCATCATTGACTCGAAATGGCTGGCTGAGGGGGCCGTTGTGCAATGTACATATATGGGCTCTTGGCACAGGGGTAGCGCGCACGCTTCGCACCTGATTAGATGCTTGCGTGAGGTCGTGGGTTCAAATCCCACAGTGTCCATTTTTTTCGGCTATGAGTGTTTTTCTATCTTGTAGTCTTCCGGTTATCTATCACGAAAACGTCAAGTCCACCTTCCCGGTGCCGACTTGGCTCCGTGAGCGCTCCTCACCAAACAGATAACCGAAGAGGAACAAAGTTTCCCCTTCTACGGACTAGTTTAGTAACATTCTGATATCTTTTTTTGTCCATGACGTCCCGTCGCCCGTCATCGATTCATTCCCTTGAAGTCTTCCGAGCCCTTCGCGAAGCAAGAAGCCCCGAATCAGGGTACGCGGGTATTCTGGAATTAATCTACGTGCGCGCTTTATCTAAACTTCAATTGTTTTACGTGTGCAAACTTCTCCCGATCTTACATTGTTCTATATTGTAGTAGGCGTGCACGTCGACCGGCCCAGGCGCCGAGAACGGAGAGCTCATTCCAGTTCCGTTTGAACATGCAATGATTCACATCATTGCACTAGAGTGCACGTATATAAGTACAAACACGATATAAGAAACAAGTAGATACGTTAAAGGCGTGATTCAAACAACAGATAAGTAGAAGAGAGAGATTCATTCAAGATATTAGGGAACGAAACTAAATATAGCACGAAAGCACGGCAATGAGAAAGAGTGATGAGAGGAAAAGAGAAAAGAGTCCGTTCATAGCATTGAAAGTTGTAAACGTCAGGAAACGGGCAGGTCAACCAAACACGTGAAGGAATTCCAAGCCCCGGCTCTTGAGAAACGCCTGCATAAGGGTCGGAAGAACCTAGGTCCAGCTCGCGCCTGCGCTTACTGATAGAGATTGCTTCGAGCCGGCAGGAAAAGTAAATCGAAAACCAGAGCGAAAGGACGGGATAAGCGAGTGACTGGATTTCCAAATAAAAGGAGGGAAACGGGTTGGAACCTGAGATAGAAGAAATAGTCGTGTCGAAGGCGTAAAGGACGTGACCATCCAAGAGAGCTTCCGAACTGATAATACACCGTGGAGGAACTGAGAGATCGGACCCAGACATAATGAAACCAAAAAGGGACAATGAGAGTGAAACGCCAACCCCGTCGATCGATTCTTGAGATGTATACGAATAATTAATACAACAGCGAGACGGAACGAGACCACGATATTGCTTGCAGATTAGATGAAATAAACAAAGATTGGAGTGTGATGCAGGTCGGATAAAAGCTGTGGAATGCAGATCGTGAGCGTAGCCGCGTCGGGAATGAGGCAAACAGGTTATTACAATGCGTCAGAACATGGTTGTTTCGTTTTGCAAGAAAAAAAAGTCTATGGTCTTCTCCGTTCCTTCATCGTCAACTGCGCATAGCATCTAAATCAATGCCAGCGCCCAGGCCTCTCGCTTTTGGACTCTTGGTGACGGCACCCGTGCCCGTAGCGTTTCTCATCTGCTCCTCTTCAAATAACTTCCTCCCCACATCTGCCCTGAGGCCCAAACTTGGTTTCTGGGCATTAGGACCTGAACTTCCGGAGGTCAGCATCTGACCTGCGCCTGGCCGTGCAGGTGATGGCGAAGCATTTATAAAATCGCTGAAATTGAAATCTGTAGTGTGACCTCCACTTGACTTGGGACTTTGTATCGTACTGCTAACCCGGCCAGTCATATGCTCAGGCGTCGTCGCCCCCAAGGCAGATTCATCACGTGCTGGTAGCGGTGGCGGTGGCAACAGTTGCGACGGCCCCAATTGCGAGGATGAACCCATCCTTGACAACCCGGCCCCACTGCTAGCGTCCACGCTTCCACGTCTTCCAAGCTGTGAGGAAATGCTCGAGATGCTCGAAGAGAAGCTGCCATCACCACCTCTCGTAAGTGGTGGGCCAGATCTAGTGTGTTGATGACGAAACTGGGGTTGATGGCGAGCGCCACCGGGGGACGTTTCTTCGGCCCCGGAAACATCTCCTAATGATGGGAAAAGTACGCGACCTTTGCTAAGGAGAGCATTGTTGCCGCCGGATAATGCACGGAACGCAGCCATATCCCTCGCGTCCTTGCCTACGGTAGGTCGCGCGGGGGAAGGCGACGTTGCGAATAATAACATTAGATCCGCCGCTTCATCATCTGTGGGTGCAGCGCGAGGTGTAGCATGCTCAGGAACCTTGCTAGCTGGAGATGGTGTTCGACTTCGAGCAGGTGGCTCTGCAGTCGAAGTAACAGACGCGGTGGTGGGACTAGCGGCGGATGCCACCGTAGCCGTTGTTGTCCGTGCGGAGCTTTGGGCAAAATGTGAATATGTGGAACCTGTTTCTGACTCATCAAAACTTGACCGAGGACTTCCGGCGGCCGTCGGCTGTCTATTATGAAGCAGCCAGGACGTGAGAGTTGCGGCAGCTTTCATGGCCACGTCTCCGTCAGTGTCAACATTCATTTCGGCGCCAGTTGGCGCTTGCTTTTGCTTGCCCTTGTCGATCGAGGATGTCTTGCGGCGCCGACCCGGGGTTTCAACAGCCTTAGGGGGCCGGTCCGCGGCCTTAGCCCTTCCGCGACCCCGGCCTGAAGAGGTTTTTGTCACGCGTGTTCTTGGTGAAGGGGCAGTGGAAGGAGAAGGAATAGGAGGTTCGTTGGCGCTATGAATTGTTCTCGCCTGCTTAGTAGGCGGAGGGGCCAGGATGGAAGAATATAGTGTATTTCCTGTCCCATGTCCAGGTCCCGATTCGGCGCTGGAGTTACCTCCTGTGGTTGAGTGCTGGATGTTCCGGAGTGCAGATACGGTGGGAGGTGGAGCCATCGAATCAGATCCCCCTCTTCTGTGGGCGCTACCGGCCATGGTCAGACCGGCAGGATTGATGGGCGTTGCACTAGTATTGTCCCTATTCGTACCGACCGCCTTGCGCTTGGCGGCGATGGTGCGGGGCAGGGACCCATGCTGAGGCTGACGGAGTGTACGTGCCTCCAAATCTCGTAGAGATAAATGAGGAATATTATGTGCAGCCTTGTAAGATGCGTAGGACAAACGAGCACGGAGAGCTCGAGTCACCTGGAGATGTGATTAGTAACGGGGGGCGAGTCTCAAAAAGTCAAACACAGAAGTGGCATAGCAAGCTGAACAACCGCGATGAAGGTCGCTGAAGCCAATGAAGGCCCTTTCGTCGCGGGAGAACCCTATTCACGACGCGGACGCATGTGCAACAGGGCATTTGCCAGACGCGTCGAAAATCGAGGAGATACGCACCATTGAGATCTCGGCCCTGGCGAGAAACTTCTGCACGGCTTTCTTCCTTTGTTCTCTTTCTGAAGAGTCTGCAGGCGCGGAGGAGGATGGATGGAGTTGCTGAGAGGCGAGGTAGGCCATGGGGGGTGAAGGAGAGGTAGTTGAAGACGAAGGAGTTGCCATTACGCGTGTCTAGAACAAGTAATAAAACTGCGAAGGACAGGAGCTCGTCGCAAGGGACGGCGAGGAAAGGGAGTTTGTCGTCGATGAGCGCGTTGAGTGAGATGGAGGTGAGAGAGCTGGGAGCTGTGCGGTGTCAAACGCGACGACGCGTATCGGCAATTGCCGAGCCGCTGCATCCGCGCACCCGGTTAGCGGCTCGCCCGGTTTAGTCTGGATTTAATCAGACAATGAATACCTAGGTGCATTGCTATCATAAGTTGCCCAAGCTTTCCTGCCAGTACCATCTCGGAAGAAACCCAATTCGGTCTTCACCGGCGCTGACCTCCTCCACGCCGGCCCGGTCAAGCTTCATGAGCTGCGCTCCGGTGCCCGGCACAACCCTCGCACGCCACACCGCGTCCTCCCCTGCCCCGTTGCGGGTATCCGCCGCAATCTTCTTCCTGATAAACGAGAGTAGCTCGTAGCCCCACCCCATGCATACTATCGCGTTCCATGTCCCTCCCCGCCCACGTACCATTCGTGGTATCTGCATCGTCTGGTAGTGCTGCAGTCCATTAAGCACCCCCGCGGGCGTCCGGAAGCCTACGACAATGTCCTGACGCGTGGTCAGCCGCATCGAGATAGATCCTTCTCGAACAAAGCTTACCGGAACTCCAAGTAGGAACGACTGGAAATAGAACTTGAGAAGCTTCCTAATAAAGTGCATGTCAGCAAGCCGCGTGGCGGCACCGTAAGCGTAAGCGAGCGTACCTTTCGAACTTGGCTGCGCCCTGTTGGTCGAGTATCTCTTGTGACGTCTTTAATTCGACAAATGTGTCCGGTTGCCCAGTATACTTTCCTGCTCGAACGAGTTCAAGTCAGACAACCGCGAGCATTGCAATGTATAGTGCCCACCTCTGACGCAATCGACCTCTCCGCCAATCACCATCCGAATGTCACCTAGCTTGCCCTTCACAACACTGCACCACTGCACATTAGTGTCCACATCTCCGCCCCAGCCCGGTGGATCCCCACCACGCGCCGGCCCCGTCTCCGTCCGTGTCGGTGTCGCCGACGTGCAGTACGACTCGAAGGCATAACCATAATACATCATCATTCGATGTCGTCGTGTGATCTCGTTCCTTACAGGCATCATGCATCAACGCTTGCAAAATAGCTACACCGGCGTGGCTTACTTGTTTCTTAGCTGATCATCCGTCAAGTGTTCTTCAAAGTACATCGTACCCCCAACGTTCATAATGTTGATGTCCAATGCATCTCTCTCATACGGCGCTGTCAATAGTCTTGGTTCGACATCCACACGCACGTCAGCCTGACAGCATAAAGTCGACAGAGTTAAATACCATCACTTTGTCATTACTCCCCTCCAAGAGACAAGACCAATATCTGTTAAAGCGCTCTCCTTTCTCACGCGAGAATATGCTTTCAAGAGCGCGTCGATCCTCGGTTTCTCATCCGGCCTTTTCGTCCATCGATGAAACCCAAAGTCTAATCTGGCTCCAGGAGGTGGGTCCACGTAGTACCGGAGCGCGGAGTCACTAAACTCCAATTCGTGCGCTGCATTGTACGAGAACGAAGTCAATTGAATAGGTTGCTGCAACTGGATCTGCGTAGACGGCACGCGCGACGTGTCAGGAAAGGGCAAATGCGCTGGCTGAGCTGGCTGCTCA